TATGTATTCGTCTTGGCTACTTCATTAAAAAGCTTTGAGGATGAATTCTAGCTTTTCAGAACACATCATGACAAAGGATATCGACGTTAAACAAGTTGGAAAGACGCCAGGACTCGAAGTGTGGCGGATAAAGGTGATTTCCCACATACCCTCATTTCACTATCGCAAGTGCCATGTGCATCCTTTTAATGACTGAAGTGTCATAGATGTGACAGTTTTAATACTTGGTACTTGGAACAAACGGTGAAGTGTTCAGTACCGATTTGTCCTTTTTTGGGGGCACCCACACCAGCTAGCATTGTAGTAGCATTTACATCAAAGGTATATTTAAAGAGATTCTCAGAGCTTGCTGAGGATCAGGCTCAGGGTCAAACGTGTGTCACCGAGTCCGCGGTTTGGGGGTCGTATACGACTTGTCAATAGGGAGTCGTATGTACAGGTGTTGATAATGAACAGAGCAGCGGCAGTGTTAGTGGAACACTGATCTCGCTTTTAAGCTTCGAATTGAAGCGCGATATCTCCGTCGAGTTGAAAATTAAAGGCAGTTGGCAAGATAAATCCCTGAGACGAGTGGCATCAATACGCCTGGCAGGACGGAATTCCGCGTCCCAGAGGAAGCGCTGCGCAGCGCGTTTTTAAGAAAGGTACCCTTATAAGGACTTTACCAAGCTACCACATACCGACCCCAAGTCCTCCACGCCCGCCCGCTCACAAGTGGACGACCGTTTTTGACACTCGTATTGCTTATTTGCTAGACAAATTCAAAGCGAAGTGGGTTGGTACGAGGCCGGCATGCTATATATGAGTCCACACTCACTATATCGAGCTATCTGGCTGCAGCCTCACGCACTCATTCGGTAGCATTATTGGCAAGATGCCCATGGAAAACTCGTCCGAAATTGATTCCAAGTCACTGAGAACGAAGGCTTCTTTTCGCAGGATTTTGACCGTTTCACTCCGTTCTTTCGCCATTTCCCCACTATATAGCGCCCTACTAGCATTTTAGGCCGAATACCGATTTATCGTGCCAACTGCCTTCAAGGAAGGGTGATTGCTTGGTGCGATTCCTTATTCTAAGCACCTTGTTAAGGGTGGATTCCTCCCGTCCTTAATCCGAAAGTCTGAGGCAGCCTCAACAAGGTGCGAAGCGGTATCACTTATTCGAGTTAAATGTCCATATGACGAGGGTGCAATGTTTCTTCGATTTCTTCGGTATTGCTTTCAGGACTTCATGCTGAAAGCAGTACCAAAAAACGAATATGGTCTATTCCACAGCAATGACACCTACATCGTCCTGAACGTAAGGAAGCAAATCTCAGATAAAACCCACATTTTATTTCTTTTACTTGCTAAAGTAATTTTCAGTCAACTCATAGTGGATGGGATGTCCACTTTTGGCTCGGTGAAACTGCTTCACAAGATGAAATTGGAACAGCTGCTATAAAAACAGTGGAAATAGATCAGGCCCTTAATGGTCTTCCAGTACAGCATAGAGAAGTACAGTATCATGAATCGTCACTGTTCATTTCATACTTTCCGAACGGCATCAGGTATGATCGTGGTCAAGCTGATCACGAACGAAGCCACTTCAACCGCAAGGAGCTATTTCCAGATACTTGGCGGGAGGTCATGAGTCCGGGTTCAATCACGTAGAGGACGACTTCAAGGACTGGAAACCGCGATTGTTCCACTGCAAGGGGAAAAGAAACGTTCGCTGCTATCAGGTGAGCCCTCAGAGGGATACTTGTCGTAGCCCGGCCGTAACTCTTATATCTTGCTCATCTATATATTGCAAATTTTTACTGGTATTGGGTTACTTCAATCTACTCAAGGAACGTAGTTCGAATACACACTCTGCCACTCTCAGTGCAATTTATGGGCGGTTAAGATCAATTTGAATTGCAGGTGATAAGTAGTAGATGCCAACTGCATTACCAGTAAAGCACAACTCGTAGAAATAGCAAGCCCGTCGAAGGCCTCCTGAACAAAGCCTCTGGTATAGGGCGGGATCTCGAAGAGGACACATGCTGCTCTGGCGAGAAAAGGATGGCCAAAAGAGGAGAGGAGCCGAGTGAGACGGCAAGGTCTCGCCCCCACTCTCCCACCTCCCAACAGAGTGGACCAACGCGTCACACCTGTTATGTAGCTATGGGACCCATTGCGTGCCACTTCCGCAGATGAATAAAGCACATTTCGGGCAGTTCGTTTCATGGGATTATTAGAATCCTCGTCGTTCACTGTGGAGCCGTTAACAAGGCTAGCTCTTTTGACTGAAGACTAGCGGCCTCATTGGCGGAAGAGCTGAAAGCGGTGGGTGTGTGGTGATTCTATCGTCGTCGCGCCGGTGGGCGGAGCGAGGCGGCGTGGCGGCCGCCGCGTACGAGTTTTGTTGCGTGGCGTTCAAATTGTTAAAGGGTCGACGATCCCTTTAACAATTTGAAAGAGTCTAATCCTTTGCTCCAATGACAACTCGGGAGTACGGTAATGCAACTCCGGGATTGCCGCGTCGCGGCGTCGCCTGACTTGCCGACGATAGAATCGCCCGGGTGCCGAAAGCGGTAGTAAGGGTAAAACGCCCAAAGCGTCGTGAAGATGTAGCCAAGGGCCTTCCACCAATGACGCTGGCAACAACCGCCCGCCTCCAGCAATCGTGCTTACTAGTTTTGAGTAATAGAGCCCTACCAGTTAGTAGAAGAATATGTGCTGATGGTTGTAATTTGAAGGTTGTTATGAAAAAGGAGTCACTAAATATTGGCGATGTATTCCTATTGGATCTCGGCAAGAACATCTACGTCTGGATGCCAGAAAAAAGTGGACGTCTTGAAAGAATCAAGGTCTGTTGAGAAAATTATATTTTAGTTATCAAAATTCCAGAAAAGACAATTTCAGGGAATGGCTATTGCCAATGATATTGCAAAATTTGAACGACAAGGGCGCACTGATGTTCACATTTTGGGTTTGAACCTAAACAGATTTAGAAGTTCTGGTTATCCTTCTCTAATGATTCAGACGTTGACTGGGACACTAACGAAGAATTTTGGTCACATTTTGGTGGTCCCAGTGCTGTCAAGGGTATAACGAGAGCCCAAAACGATGACGAGAATTACTGGAAGGAGACATCTGAGAAACTGAATCTCTGGAAGTAGGCTTCACTCTAATTAGGAGAATCTCTGGAATTAAGTAGTTTTATGTATTTCAGGGTATCAGACGTAACTGGTAAAATGAAGGTTACACATGTTGCCCAGGGACAAATCAAGCGTAGTCAGTTGGACTCAAAGGTGAAGAAGGAAAGCTCAGTTTTTGGCGGTATTGTCGGAAGTGTAGTGCTATTTTCAAATCCGATCACTTTTCCCCCTTCCTCCCTCCTGGAAAATCTGCCCTGGCTGTTCACTTTTTCAGCCCCCTTTTTAACGGCTTTGAACCCATTTGATTCCTTCAAGATCTTCAGCTGTCGCGCTTGTCGCATAGTCACTCACGCGTATTGATGTGTTTCTTTTTGGGCGCCACAGAAACGCAGCCATAAACCTCGGTTCTTGACCCCGTATCCCACGGGTGGAAGATGTGTGGCTCCCACTCATTTCAAAGTGCTGCGGTTACCCTTTCAGATCTTCCCTTTGGAACAGTTTCAATCAAGGATTTGTCCAGCACAAGACACTGCGCCAGGTGCCTCAAACAGAGATCTCGCTCCAAAAATGCTACCACGAACTTTCCAAGCGAAATAGACAGTCCCGCCCTTCCCGTCTCCGCGACATGGAGTATACCTAACCAGTTGTAGAAGCACTCCCGAGTTCTGCCTGGAATTTTTTCTTTGCTTGCCATTCCGAGCGCTTGGTGGATGATGCGGTGAATTTGTCTTTCGTATGTTCCGTTCTTAAGCACCTCGCGCTTAAGGGCACACTCCGCCTATTGTGGGCGGCTCTCGTCATACCGCAGATAGCTCAGCTCTCTCCAGATTTTCCTTTGCTCCAACAACGTTTTGCGATCTCCAAACACTCGAAAACCGAGTTCTTTTTCGGTGGAGAGCACCTCCCATCTTAGGTACGCTCCGCCCATTCCTGTTCTGTCTCCACAGTTAGTCTGCTAATCCCTTGCTAGCTGTGGCTCACTTTTTCCCATCTATGGACCCCTCTGGAGCTGAATTATGACTTTTGTCTGCGACACCTCCCACTTTCATCGCATGCCGCGCCTACTATGGGCGCTGTTCAGCATAGCTTTATGTGTGCCCTGCATATCTCGTCTCATGCCCTACTCAGCCCAAAGTTTATTTTTTGTCGCTTAGGACGCCTTCGTCGTTGAAGCTGGCCATGCTGGTATTTTCGTGTGGATCGGCAAGGAGTGCACGTTAGAAGAACGCGCTAAGGCCTTGAACATTGGAGCAGAATTTATTAAAGAGCAGGTATGTCTATATAGTTTTCAGAGTCATAAAAAGTAATGTCTAGCTTCAGAACTTGCCTGCCTGGACAACGGTGACTCGAGTGCTTGAGTCTGCTGAGCCGGCATCGTTTATGCAATGGTGAAACTTTTCCTCAACTTAGCTAAAGGCTCCATATATTCGTAGAGAGCTCCCTCAAGGGAACCTCAGAAAACCAAATTTTTTCGATTAGGTTTGATGAATGGGTCGATAGCAAGTCAAGTAAAACCTTCAAACCACGCCTCTTCCAAGTGTCAGATAGGTCCGGAGGAATAGTCGTGGAAGAAATCGCCAATTTCACTCAGGAGGTAAGCAAAGTACAAGGGCTCGTTCCGCTGTGCTATTTTTTGGATCAGTATTGGGTCTATCGTCTAGTGGGCCATTTCAGAGCCTCGACGGTGACGATGTCATGGTCCTTGACGCCCTGAACCCCATATATGTTTGGGTAGGAGAAGGCGCTACTCAAGATGAAAAAAAGAATGCCGTTTATACAGCTGAGGTTAGTTACCTCTAGTTAATTTGTGCATTTCAGTGATAGTGACTGATAACTATAAAGTAGTCGTTCCAGAAATATCTGAAGCTCAGTAAAATACCTCGCGCTGAAAATACAACAATTGAAACGATATATCAAGGCAAGGAAACGCCTGGATTCAAAAAACTGTTCCCAAAATGGGATGACAACTTATTCACAAGTGTAAGTGATCAAGTTAAAGACACTGTGTACGTTGACTGTATGGGCGGAGACAGTCAACCATCAACGTGTCAAGAGGACACATCGGCTGATTACGTACAACCAGCGTGGACTGTCCTTTCAGCCAGTGTTCTGATAATATAGATCAGGGAAAAAGACATGCCAGACAGATAAATGTATTTCAGAATGAACGTTCGGTGGAAAACATGAGAAAACTGCTATTCAACTAATCTGATTGAAAGGAATATTGCGTTATTTCAATTTTTGTATCGATAACAATATCTTTACCTTTTTACTGATTATTATGCTTAACAAAGTTGTGTGTATTTGAGCTTCGTGCCCTCGCTGTTGCTTTTGAACTTTCTACTTTCTTCAGGTGTAATCTTTATTGGTATGTTGCTTGTATTGTATGTTTATGAGGTACAGTCGTTTTCACTCAAGTCAGTCGGGGCGTGTCAGCGGGCACGAGCTCTAGCGCGACGCCACTTTGTTTCCAATTAATCGTTGCAGGCTTCGGGCGTGCAAGGAGTGGTGTGGAAGGAGCCGTCGCAGCCCTGAAAAACCCACGCGCCGCTGGCACGCCGCGGATGATCTCAGCGATGACAACTGCAACTTTTGCCGTTTTTTGAATAATATTTGGATAAGTTCCTCACTGTCTGTTGCAAGCGATTTTCAAGGCCTGCTGGTTTCGACGTGTTGGACAACTAGGGGGAGAAATGAACTGCAGACATCTCAGGCCGAACTGCAAGTCTTACCGCAGTTGCGATTGCGTATTTTGAATGAAAAACTTTCAATAAGGAAGTAAAGTTCTACAATATTGTCCAGGACTGTTGCTTCAGTAGCACAGTCAGGGGAGGGCGTGTGAAGGGGCATGGATTGGAGCGCAGACGAAGCAGCTTTTTCCACCGACTGATGCTTCCTGAGATCGCAATAATTGGTGGAATTGACTCTCCTGAATTGACATTCCAATTCATCCCCTTCACGCTCCCTCTTGTTTGTAATAATTATGACGGTATGCATTTGCCAATGGGGTCCTGTTAGCTGCGGATGAAAGGGCGTTCCAGCGGGAATGCCTTCTCCAAAGCCTGAACAGATCGGAACTCATCGAATTACTCTCACACTGATTTTTCCCCAGTCCCCTAAGGCATGTTCATAGGGACCCTTCTGCTCTACAATCTCCATAAAAAGCTTTCATGTGAAGGGAGGTAAGATGACAAACGTTACAACTAACTGTGATCCAAAGTTCCCGATTTCTCCCCTCCTACCTCCAAACCTCCACACGGGCGGTTTGGCAGTATAACCAGTGGGAATAACAAAAAGGTAGCCACACAACAGCGGTCTTTTGTGCGTAGAGAAGGAACTGAGGCAGAAACTATAATAAAACCCTGTCGCAAGAAAGACGCTGGGTATCGGAGTTTGGGCGGGGAGAGCCGCTGCGAAACGCTGCTCATGCAAATCTTACACTATTCGCCGTATTCTATGAATAAAAAGTGAGGAGATCGCAAAATAAAAAAAAATGAGAGAGTGTGTAGAGGGAGCAGACAATGATAGTGAAGGGCTCTCCGAAGGTTTCCGCGCAAGCTGCTTCCACTTCAGTTTGGTTTGGCTGGAAAATTCCTTTCTCGATCAGTCAATGTTTTAAGCTTTATTTATGAAGTGCTCTCATGGGATTTCATTCCGCAGATGATCCTCCTCCTCCTCCTAAACTGAAATTCTCGAGAAGACAAAATCTCTTCAGCTCCCAGTTCCTGCAGTAGATTAATGCAGTAGGTTTCTTCAGTGACTGGAACTTTGTGATTTTCTTTATTTTTTCAATTTTTAGTGTAGTCACAAAACAAGGCATAGCAGCCGAATGGCGACTGGATGTCTCGTTCAGAGCCGTCCCTTTTCCTTCAAAGCTCCATAAAAAGTTGTCCGACGGTGCTCTAGTACATTGCTGTTGCGCCTGCTGTTCAACGCCGCAGTGCGCGCAGATCATAAGAATGCTGAGGCTAGGGGCAAAAGCCAGGTTTCAAGCGGGACATCTTCTGCTGACGAGTGCACTATCCATTACGCCACAGGGCCCGCCCTTTTCCTCTCAGCTCAATGACAACTGGGTCAAAGACTTGAGCTTTAGTGCCATGGTCTCGAATACCTGTAGGTATGAATATACCAGTAGAATAGTTGTCGGTGATTTGGGTTCACCTGTTTAGTCCGGTATATACCAGCTTGAAAGAGTTGCAGCAGAAGCGCTCATTCAGTTACTCTATCGCACTGAACGCTTATGGGTAATTCCAAGGAATGCTCGCAACAGCTGAATGAAAGGTGTTTGGTAAAAAAGTGACAAGCCAGTTGCGAACCTCTTGATATCCTTCGTGAGCTAGCCAGCTGCACATAACTCACTCAAACGCTCCAAGGTCCTACACGTGTGGCTAATATCCGGCTCCACCTTTCAGTGACCGCATTCTCAATTTCTGCAATATTTCTTAACTGCCGATGTTTCATCCTAAAGAGTTGCTAAATTGGTTACACTAGTTCGAACATCTGTAAGATCACCCGAAAGTTCAAAGATTTCTTTCGTTTCTTAGCTGAGACCTCTTCTCTTCTTAGCTCTTTCGTTTCTTAGTTGAATCAACCTTCGTTCAAGAAAACAAGTGCTGTCAAATCATCAAGAGGCATCCGACTTCGTTACAAAAGATTTGATTTTGCTTTTCATTTTTTGGTGCTTAGATTGCACATTCGTCATTGACCTGGGTACGCCTCAGTTGCTGCGGAGTAGCAATCGTTGAGAGAGCCTGATCTCGTTGGGTCATTTACGGGTCCAAAGCCTCCGACAAAATTTAAAAGCCTTTTGATGCACTGGATATAAGAAGAATGGACCTCAAATTTCGGACAGAAATTCTGCCTTGCCATTCGAAGCAGTCTGCAGTTTTGCAGCCCTGCAATAGCAAACTGCAAGATCCAAGGGAAAAAGGAGCTCTGGCATGGTGAACTGTCTATCATTCACGAAAAATTAAAACTCTCGAAGTGGACCACCTCGGTCCTCTCAAATTTGCTGGAGAACTATTGATCACTGCTCTGATAATGTCCTCTTGAACAGTACAGGCAGGCACACAGACGCGCGCACGCACGCACGTGCGCACATTCAGCTGCTGTAAGTGAGAGAGGTGGAGACTGGGGCGGAGTCACTGGAGCGAAGGAGGCGTCGCTGGACCTATATTGCGCTATAGCGCCTCTCCCTTTGCAATTTTTTTCGCCGCGAAACCGGTACAAGGTTTTCGCCGCTTACCACACTACCTCCCGATGCCATATTTTCAGCTCCTGTACCTGATCGCGGGCACTACCTTTGAAGGCACGGTCCGCGTTAATAAAACCCAGGTGATGTTGCAGAAAGGTGGAGGAAAATTCGCCAAGTTTACCGTCTATGAAGAGAAAATGCCAGAGGGAATTGCTGCGCCAAGCCCAGCCCCCCCTGACACGCCCCGGCATCTGCAGCGAACATGACTGTGACCGATTCTCGAGCAAAGCTCTCGCATAGTCATTGGCGGATTCAGTCAAAATAGCGGAAGATAAAAGTCTTCGCCAA